AATTATAAGAGATTATGGGGTTGAAAAGAGCCCCTTAAATATTCAAGGTTTCTCTAAGTCTCAGACCAAGTAGAAAATCCCTATAAAAAATAGTTTTTCTTTTTATAATTAGTAGAAAATAGAGATTGTAGCAAAGAAGGGAACTTTGGGAAGATAAAAATGAGAAGAATGGATTATGGACATGACAAAAAATAATTATAGAGGCTAGAGTACTGTAATTATAGAAAAGAAATTAAACCCGGAGTAAAAGTATACTGATAAAGTAAGAAGTACAGTCTTGTACTTTAATTAGCCACTTGTCAAGCCATCAATCGAGAGGATTAAAGTTGCCAAGTGTCAAGCCAAGTATGGAGAGGATCTTGACTTTTGAAATTGATTTTCAATTTGAATTAAGTTAATATGAAAGAGATTATAAGAAGGCTTAGGCTAATGACACCTCACATGGCAATTAATATGGTGGTTTAGATATTTTGCCTATAAATAGACACATTCCCTCCCTCGTAAGACCATATATTTCAGCTAAGGAGGGAAAATTATTGTCAATCCATTTCTTGAATTCCAAGTGAGAGGAAAGCTAGCTGCTTTGATCATCCAAGCTAGGATTCAAGGTTAGTAGGTTGTCTTAAGTTGTTTCTTGCCTTGTTTCCTCAAGTTTTATGGTTGAAAAATCTGTTCTTCTCTCTTGAGTGTGCTGGCCAAAATGTGTTAGGGTTAGGGGAAGGAGGTTTTGATGTTAAACCTAGTTCAAACACATTGATTCAAGGTTGTTTCAAGTGGTTTTGGGTTGTTATTTGAAAGATTTCATGATTGGTTGTTTATGGTATTGTTCAGACACTTTGAAAACCATATCCTCGGATGATTTTTTCATAGTTTTGATGCTTATATTGTGTTTAAAATGGAAAATGGTGTAGGGTAGACCTAAATTAGAAGCATTAGAATTAAAGTTGGAATTTTTGGAGTTCAAGACCTCTATGTTTGGTCAACACTATTTCATAAGGAAAGAGTTTTCTTTTCTTGAATCCAAGTTCATATTTAGATTCTACATGAAAAATTATGTAGGATTGACCTAAGAACAGAATTTTTAGGTTAAAGAAAACAAAGCTTCAAAATTCAAAAAATTAAGGCTTAAAGGGTTACTTGAGTTTGCCATTGATTCTTGTGTGGTTTGGATTGTAATGTGGCTTCCCTTTTTGTACAATGTGATGTTAGAATTTGATATTTGTGGTGAGAAGGGAGAAGAGCAAAGAACCAAGGAGCTATTGGAGCAAGGTAACAAGATTTAATTAACTACTAATATTGACATTGCATGGATGATTGCTATTATGTGGGTAAACTATGATGATAGTGATGTGGCTGCTTCTTGCATTTTATTGCCTTGGCTATTGCATGTTTGAGATTGCCTAATTATAAGAGAATTAGTTCTCTAATAGTAGCTAATGTTGAAATGCATAATGATGATGCATGCTTGATGTTATAGCTGATTATTCGTGCTATTGGGATTTCAATGAAATCTCATTCCTTCCAAATGTAATCCAATATTCTAGGGGCTAAGTCATCCAAGAAAAAGCTGCAAATTCAAGGTTAATTGTGGTGTTAAACTATGGAACCATTTGACTTTTGGCTATGTATAATGATGTATGCTTAGATGCTATAACCATATGATTTGAACAAGTTTTACTATATTAATTCATGTCTAATTGCATGTTTCTAGAGGGATTAATTGGTTTAAAATGCATGTTTTGATATGAGTTGTGGTAATTTAGAATAGTGAATTTGATTTCCTATTAAGCATTTTGTAAGGGCATAATGGTCATTTCTTGCTTCATTTTAATTAACCATCTCTTATGAAATTGAATTGGATATTACAAGCGCTTAATTTGATTTTTAGGTCAAGAGTCAAGTGAAAAATATCTCCAAAGAACCTAAAGTCAAGAAAATTATAGTTAAGGACTAACAGATTGTAGAAATTACAGAAGGGGGCCAACCAAATACAGCTATTCGTTTTGCTCAATTGATCACAGCAAATTGGTTGTTTAGCCGCTACGAAAAGGTATTGATGCAGAATCAGGTTTTAAACCTCAGATTTTGATTTTAGGAAACATAACACATGAGCCAACTGCCAGTCACTGTCCAAAAACTCCCATTTTTGTCTCCTAGGGTTCTTCAAGAGTTCTTGAGGTTCTCCTATTGATTCCTATCCATTTTCACTCCTTTTCTACCCTGTTCCATCACTTTTCTGCATCATCCATCATCCCTTCATCTGTTATGGCTGGTGCTGTGATTTTAGAGCTTGGAGGTGCTGTTTTTGAAGTCATGAGAGGCTAGAACATTTTTCCTTGAGGAGTTTTGATGAGGGCCCGAGCTTAGGACTTAATTTGGGGAGTTTATTTCATCTTTTCCATTACTTTAACAGCAATTCAGTCGTTCTTGGTTAGGATTTCTGTGTTGTTATTAAAGCTAAACTTTAATGTTATAATCTTTTCATTTTGGATTGGATTCTAAGAATTTATGCTTTGGTATTTATTTTGTATTAAGAATCCTACATTTAGTCATGTGAATATTGGTTGATGTTTAATCTAAATTCAGTTTTGAGTAAATGTGGTGCCTTGCTAGCATAATTAGTTATTATGTTCAAGTTGTTATTACCATTGGATCAATCTCACCAAGTGTGCATTTGTGAGGGTGGTTAGTTTTGTTGTGAGTCTTTAGGTCAAAGGTTTAGTTAACATGCTAATTTATCTAAGTTTGGAAGGTTTTCTAAACTAGCTAAGATTGGTTTTCAAGTAAACTCCCAACATATTTTGAAGTGATGACGGCTTAATCAATTCTCCAACAAGCATTTTTATTGTTTAGGTTTACAAACTATCCATTCAATTGCTTTCTTGCATTATTGTTTTAATTCTCTAAAAGAAAAAGACCAAAAAGACTTTTCTACTTTATGTTTGATTTCATTGCAACTTAATTCAGTTTTGCAATCCCCCCAATTTTACCTTTTCACATGGTTTTGTCACATAGATTACATAGGAACAATTCAGGATTCTCAAAGTGAACACGACTCGGATTGTGCCTTGTAGTGCATTCCTATATGGAACTAAATTGTTTTTGAGAGCCCATAACGAGTAAGGCTTTATCACCTTATTTAGACTACTGACTTGGAGCTACACTTTGACTAAGTTACTAGACTATTTAAATCACAAAATTTGGCATGCTTATAGACATCCTGAGCTTCAAATCAATAGGTAGAACTCACAATGGACATCAATACTATTTATGGTGAATTTTCAAAGTTCATGTTTAAAATCTAGAAAAAGTTTTTAACCAATAGAACAGTGGTAACTTCCACAAAAATCTTGCACTGATTCATAATGAATTGGTTCACAAGATTTTTTTTCTTGAAAGAGAATTCCAAGAGCTTTCCATAGAACTTAGAAGCACTCCATTCTGATTTTTCTAGCATAAGTTACGAATTTTGAAAGTTGGATAGAAAATCTGGATTTACCAAGTGAACTGTGTTTTTCCGTAAATTAGTATCCAAATACGTATTTTTGAGTTTAAGGCCATCAAAAGTGGTCAGAATTAGCTCTAAATAGACTCTAAGACATACTAGAAGTAAGGTGTAACAGGTGTATATGGGTTTAGGGTCTTGAAATTCTTTCTTAGTTCATGCCTAATCATGTATTTCCAATCAATCTTTAACCTATAATCCTTAATCCAATCTCTAATCATGCTTATCAAACCATATAATGATTAAGGCAACATAATCCTCTAGGTTTAAGTCATTTAACCTCATCAAGATTAAATCCTAATCATACATTAATCAATGTAATTAATTCTAATCAATCCTTAATCAATGTAATTAAGCTCTTAATGAAAGCTTAAACATACCTTGGTTAAGTACCCAAGCTTAGATAATCACCTCTTTCTTTCTTTCTTTCTCCCATAATCCAAGAGCAAACATTTACTATCCAAGTTTTTCTTTGGCCGAAATGCTCTTGAATAAAGGGGTATTTATAGCCTTTTGCTTAATGCTTTGCCCTTGAAGTTGCATGGAATTACAATGGGTGTGGCTTGATCTTTCACCATCCATTTCATCCCTTTGCCAAATGTGCAAATCCTAGGCTATGTAGTTCCATTAAGTGCCAAATGTTTCATGACATCATCTCCTCTTACGTCACCATGCTTACATCAAGTTTAGCACCTATTAACATGTGATTCTTATGCCTTAACATTTGTCTCTTAATCAAAGCACTAAGTTCCATGATCTTGCCATATGTTTTTTTGCTTATATCATTAAAGTAATTCCACTACTAAAAAGCCTTACACGTGGTGCCTGAAGTGAAAAGGAAGAGGGAATTGGAAAGCTTTTGATCTACTAGTCTCATTCGCCTCTTACCAGTCCCTTTTTTTCTCTCACACTTCTAAGCAACAACTTGGATAATTTGTTCCATGTCCCTTTCATCACTTTAGCATTAAAATAGGGAGGAAAATGAAAGAACTTTATGCATAATTACTTCCTTAAATATTTCTCCATATATCTTAGCAATTTACAGCATATCGGGTACTTTTTTAGGTCCTGACCTACCTAGTACAACTGGGGCATGTTTTGGCACCCCTTTTTTTTTATCATAAATAAATCCACGTGGCATTATATATGTATGCTATAGCGGAAGAAACATTCTTGCCTTTGCTTTCTATTCAAATATTTAATTATATTTATTTTGGAGTAAACATCAGTCTGTAACTCCAAAAATCTATCTCTGGGTACTATCACTGCATATTCTGTTGGAAATTGTGCCCTAGGGGCCAATCATTATGTTTTGAACATTGTTAATTTATGAATTTATTAATTACGTTATCATATTATTTGCATGTTTACTGTGATGACTATCCTTGGATAACTCATGGTTTATCCTAAATGTCCCTGGTCGGTCATCTATGTGGGAGCAAAGATGAAATAAGACCAGTATGACTTTAAAGATATATAGAGATATAAATTAAAGTCATAGGCACATGTAAGAGTACAAGGTGTTGGACCGACCCGCTATGAGAGAGCTGCATGGGTTAAGTCATAAGCTTCTCTCATATACAAACCATGTCACTGTGCCCTTTGACCTGAGATCATCATGGATTCATACATGAGAAACGCTTAGCTTTGACCTAGTCAAAAGTCACTTTTGACCGAGTGATCATAAAGACTATGTTCAGGCTTAGTGGTTTTTTCATGCGGAGGAATGTGAATGGTCAAGATGGAATTTGTCCCTCACATTCGTAGAGAGACATTACTGGGCCCCTCGATGAGTGAGTCTGAGAAATGTATGGCCATACTATAATGGAAAGGTAGTTCCGTTTCTATACTCAGACTACTCAGGGATCGAGAAAGTAACGGTCATGAATAGGAGGATGACGTTCTCCATGCCTCATCCATGACCAAAATGTCGTGTGACAAAAGGGACGTGATATGGTTGTATGAAAGGTTACATCGTTCAATGATCCTCATATGATTTGGGTAGTCGTGATGTCTTGCTAGAGACCGCTTACGACTTGTGAGTCATTATAGTTAATGGCCCACTGCCAACTTCATATGGGCCTACAGGGTCGCACACAAAATAGCCCAACACGAGTTATGATGTCCAGATTCATTGAATCTAAGATATGTCCAGATTCAATGAATAATATAGGGTGGACGTGTATATATATATATAAATTCGTATATATATATTATATAAATATAAGAGATATTAATTGTTAGATTTAATTTATAAGGATAAATTAAATATATATAAATTAATTTCTTCATCTCTTTATTAAATAAATAGGTGAATTAAATCTGTGAGACGGATTTAATTTAAACCATATTTATTTAATTGTTCTCTTATCTGATTAGGCAATATTTGATATTGTATTAATTTCGGAATTAATTTAGAGTTAATTTCGAAATTAAATATTATTCATTAAACCTATAGCATCCTATATATTTGATATGAGGAGCTAGGGTTTTAAGCGTGAGAGTACCAACAGATAAGAGACGGCCTAAGAGAGATAAGAGTGGACGGATTCTCTGAAAACCCTAGACGGACAAAAGGGCGCTAGCAAGCCGTCTGTAACCGGAGAGCTATTCGTGTGGATACCGGTAGAGGAAGCCGACCGGAGTTGTCGACTTCGAACGATAAAGGAGGCGAGCAGAGGCATCCTGAATGGCGGAATCACCGAGCCACTCGGAAACCGAACACCGAAGGTAATGCTTCTTACTACCTGACTTAAACGCGATCGGTAGATCCGGGCAAGGGATTGAAAGTTTTAAAAAAATTTTAAGTTTTTCCACTGCGCGTCGTCTTTCAATTCCCTTCATATTCATCACGGGAAATTTCTCTAATTTTTTGTATGTCAAAAGTCAACCTCTAGACAGTTTATTTTAACTTTTCCCAGATAGTGTATAATTAGGATTTAAATTCTATTGAAACCAACTTCTTTGTTTTCTGGGGACGAAATTATTTTTTAAACCTGTGATAATTTCTCAAGTATTATTTCCTATTTTTCTCTAATTATCTAAGACCTACTCATATTTTAAATAATTCAATTCTGGCTAGTTTTCATAATTAGCCAAAATCTTAGAATTCCATCAATTTGCTTTAGGGGTATTTTTGTCATTTTTAACCCAAACGGGCCTCAAGACCTTATTGCCATTTTTTCTAGAATTTTTGGGCGTACTTTTGATCACTACCCTTTTTAGCCCGAAACTTTCTAAATTTATAATTAGGTCCTTGCTTGGGTTTAACATCAAGCACAACCTTTGGCCCCTAATCATCTCCAATTCTCTTACTTGAGCCGTTGAGACTTCATCGGGGTCTTTGTTTCTTCCACACCATTTGTTCCTTTGATCATTCTACATTCCTCATTCAGCATATTAAAATTTACTGGATGTGACACTTGTCAAATTATCGAGAGTAGTTGGAATCACTATAGTCAGGCTAGACAAGCTCGAGGGCCGAGAGACCTCCTCCAAGGATGATGACAGAGGGAATGTCCTACAATAACAGCAAGAAGAGGAGAAAGTTTAACTTCAATAGGAAGCCTAAAAAAGGGAACTATCAATGAGGACCTGAAACCTTTAGACAGGTCAAGACTTGTGAAATCTATGGTAGAAATCATAGCAAACGGCCATGCATAATAGGTCAGACTATAACACCATAATTGATCACCTAATTTTATGTCAAGTGGGAGCAATTGGAGCCATTTAATAAGTCATTAAGTTGAAAATTTTTGAATTTTTGAATTTCTTTTCTCGGGTTACTATTGATTGTAACTCTAATTTTGACCAAATTTCAAAAAATCATAACTAATTTTTAAAAAATCAAGATGACATGATTCTAAGTCCTACTTAAAGCTTCCTATGAGGTCTTTAAAGGAAAAATACTTTTAGAGTGTGAACTCAGCTCATGTGTGCTCAATTCCACTGTCAAAATGTATTGTCCATTTGGTCAATTTTCTAATTTTTCCAAATTTATGCCTAACTTTGGAAAGGCATAATTTTTTGTACAAAACTCCAAATTTTATGGATTCTCACTCATTTTAAAGCTAAAAATAAGATCCATTGATCTGCCCAATTTTAGGTCAACTTTTACCCTATTAGTGTTTAACTTGCCATAACTCATGTTTAACCACTCAAACATAATTAAGCCATAATTCATAGCATATAATAAGTGTATTCATATAGTTTACAAGTCTCAATAGTCAATCAAACATCATTTCATAAATATTATAATATTTATGCACAAATTTTTTTATAATGTCACCAAAATATTTTTCATGATGTAACCACCTCCTTGCCTTCGCCAATACCACTTGCAACCCGTATTGGTGTTGTTTGGATATAGAGAGGAATGAGATTTGTAACACCTTACTTTATTTACCTAATTTACATCAAATGGGAGCATTTGGAACCATTTCTCAAGTCATTAGGTTGGAAAATTTTGAATTTTTAAGTTTAATTTCTCAGGTTACTATTCATTGCAAGCATAATTCTTCTAAACTTTGAAAAATCATAACTAATTCCAGAAAAATTAAAATGATATGGTCTCTGTCACATCCAGGAATATGGCAATTAGGAAAAATGATATTCCTAAACATTTAAGGACAAAAAATGATAAGGAGAAATAGAAGAATTCTGGTGGCAAAATAATTATTATGATTTTCCTAGTCAATTATGAAAGTTTGACTAATTAAGAAAAATTAGTCAAAAATAATTATGAAAAAAAATTTTCAAGCCTCAAAAATTAAGAAAAAATGAGGATAATATTTCTTGAGAATTATATGAGGTTATCTAATTATTTTATAACCAAATTACCCTTGAAAAAAAATTACAAAGGAATTTAAGGGTGATTCAGGCTAACTTAAGGCCTTTTATTTGGAAAATTCCAAATAAATATTTGGAAGAAGAATAAAATTCTAAGAAAATTTCTATGATATCCCAAGAAATTATAAGAGATTATGGAAATAAAAAGAGACCCTCAAATATCCAGGATTTTTTCTAATTCTATGGACAAGTGAAAAAATCATTAATGAGAAGGAAAATAGTTTTCCTTTTTATTTAATTAATAGGAATTTGAAATTGAGTTAAAGAGGGCATTTTGAGAAGAATAAAATGAGGATAATAAATTATGAATCTGACAAAAAATAATTACAGAGGCCAGAGCACTGTAATTATAGAAAAGAAATTAAACCCGGAGCAAAAGTGTGTCGATAAAGCAAGAAGTAGAGTCTTGCACCTTACTTGGCCCACAATTTGCCACTTGTCCAACCACCAATGGAGAAGATTTAAAGTTACCAAGTGTCAAGCCTTAAATGGAGAGGATTTTGACTTTTGAAAATTAATTACATTTGGATTTAAGTAATTAAGAGAGAGGTTCTAGATTAAGTAGGGAGGTAACACATGGCATATTATTAAATATTGGTTGTTGGGATATTTTAGGCCTTAAATAAGCACACTCCTCCCCCTTTCAAGACTACCTTGTTAGGATTATGGTTTTGATGATAACAAAGTTAGATTAAAATAGTTAAGTGTGTTGATCGATGATCTGATCGATCAAGTGTTTATCGATAAGCTATCAGATAAATCTTCAGTGCAAATCAGTAAAATGTTAGATGTTTTGATCGATAAGCTATTCGATAATCCACTGATCGATAAAATGATCTATTATCGCTAATGTAGAAGTTATACAAGTTTACAGTTAATTATCGATCACTTAATCGATAATAATCAAACAAGTAAGTAAATCTGAAGTGTATTTATCGATCACATGATCGATAAATTAGTGATCGATAACAACATCGATAAATGGTAAGACACTCTACCTGTTCTGAACATTGATTCTGTCATTATTTATCGATCACATTATCGATCATTCGTATATCGATAATATGATCGAACATTGCTCACTGACTCTCTGAATGTAGGTACTCATCATAGCTGCTAATTGATAACATTATCGATCACCAAGTTATTGATAACATTATCGATAAATTAATCTTTCTGAATAGTACTTTTTCATATAACATGATCGATAAATAAACTTAGAACAAAATCTTCGTTTCACAATTTATCGATCACATAATCAATAAATCAGTGATCGATCACCTATTCGATAAACCCAATTTACACTCACTTTTCACCAAGTTATTTTCATTAATGAAAATCTCATTTATATATTAATATTCTTTTCTTATCTTAATTTATTATTCTTATCTTAATTTATTATATCTTAATTTATTATATATTAATAAATATTATATTAATAATAATATTCTTCTCTTAATTTTTGAATATATTTATATATGTATATGGTTACAATTATCTCCGTTTCCAATGTGCCTATGATGTAGCACCAGGAGGACTGTTAGCCAGTGTGTATCATCTTACGAAAATAGAATATGGTATAGATCAACCAGAAGAGGTATGCATAAATTCCAATTTGGTCAATCGTTGAATTGAATGACTGAATGAAAGGAGAATCTATATAACATCTGGTTCCTGGCACATGATTAATTTGTATGAGTATCTATTAAATTCATTAAAATGAATATGGGTCAACATACATATTTCTTAGTAGCCGTTGAGTTTTACTAAAATTTTCGAAATAGGAAAAAGTTTCCCATAGAAAACCCCTGGATCATCTGTTAACTATTTAATTTAATCAATATCAATTACTTCTTCTTAATCAATTACTTCTTTGGAATGCTAAAAATAATATAAAAAAAAGATTATTTGCCCCCGATCCAATCGAGGGATCGAATTGATTATAAAAACATGAGTTTAATTAGTCGATTTATTAGTGAACAGGGAAAAATATTATCTAGACGGGTGAATAGATTGACCTTAAAACAACAACGATTAATAATCCCTCCTAGAATCCTGTTTTCCAATTTCTATTTATACTGTGCTCAATATTCTCCGCCTATTTATCTTAAGTATCGAGTTGAATTTTCTTATAGTCAAATAGAAAAACAAAAACTATTAAAACTATTAATTGAATATATTTATATTCTATGACATTGAAGTCCGAAATAAAATAATTAATAATATAAATTCAATATTTTAAATATATTAAATAAATAATATTCTATTCATTATATTCATATTCCATTTTATTCAAAAGAATATTATAATTAAATTATAGTATTTATCGATAACCTGATCGAACAATCACTGATCGATCACCTATTCAATAAACCCAATTTATCTTTACTCATCACTAAGTTATTTTCACATGGTGTTTATCGATAACATTATCGATCATAAATTTATCGATAATGTAATCAATCAACATGATCTGAAGCTTCATTTTTGTAACATTTGAATTATCGATAAATTGATCGATCAACTGATATTCGATCAACTGATCAATTATTGAACACTGTCAGTTTAATTTCAGTTAGCTATAATACTTCTCATATTCACCTATCTAATTACTTCCAGACTGATTTTATTTTGCATGATCAACATGACTATTTTGCTAAAATATTTATATCCAAAGGGACTCTGGTTTACATATCAGTATAAGTTTTCTGTTGCATTTTATCGATCACTTGATCGATAAAAAATGTTCCATCATCTGATCGATAATCTTTTTCAACTGGTTCAAAGAACTTTAACTCCGTTTATCGATAACCTGATCGATCAACCAGTGATCGATCATCACTTTGATCAAACTGTCCAGATTATCCTTCTGCACATTTAACGGACTTTTGATTTCACCTGGAATCATTGAGCAATCAGATTATCATTCATTCAGTCTTGCTTACATTGCAGGGTCTAACTTATTGAAGTGTAAAATATGGTTGCAGATTACGAAGAGAAGTCACAACGGCTCTTTAACGGTATTAAGTAGCCTGTAACCTACTGTGTTAGAAACGCAGAACCATTAATGGCGGAACTGTTGTAACTGGGAAAACACGCAAACGGAGTTACAACGGCTAGAAGCTCTTCCGTCTAATGGTTACTTAACGACCGCAACTATAAAAGGCGCGAAGAAGCATTAATGAAGAGGATTGAATACCTGAGCTACCGTCTGTAATCATTTACTATTACATTCAATACTCTGTTTCTTTGTTATTACTGAGCGTCAGTGTTCATCACTTATTCTATTCTGTAAGAGAGTCAATATCTATATTTCATTAATCACATCTGAGTGATACTTAAGAGTGTGGACTCTTGAGTGGGTTTGTATCCTTACGGGAGTAAGGGGGAGTGATTAAGTGACTCAATTACTGTACTGAGGCGCCAAGAGCCCGATCAATCTTAGGAGATAGTGGAATACTCAGAGGTGTTCTGAGGACTGGGCGTAGGTCAAGTGGTTAAGACCGAACCAGTATAAATCTTGTGTTTGTCTCTCTACGGTTAAACCTTCCTAAACTTACACTCTCTGTTTTCAATAGTATTAATTTTTAATTACGCAATTTTTTTTTCTATCTCACCTAATTCACCCCCCTCTTGGGTGAGTCTGCCACTAACATTTAGTATCAGAGCAGGTCTCTTCAGAAAAGACTTAACAGTCTGAAGAGAGATCTCATGGCAGGATTCGGAGATAGCGTGCTACCGGAAGGGTGTTCAACGTCCAAACCGCCAAGCTTTAATGGTGAAAACTATACATTTTGGAAAATGAGGATGAAAATCTTCATTAAAGCCACCGAATATGGATTATGGGACGTGATAGAGCACGGCAACTATGTTCCTATGAAAACCGTAGACGGACAGCAAATACGCAAGAGCCCCAGAGAATTCGATGAAGAAGACAAGAAGCTAGTGATCCTAAACGACAAAGCCATCAACATACTCACCTGTGCGCTGAGCCAAAAAGAATACTTCAGAGTTTCTAGTCTGGAGACTGCAAAGGAAATGTGGGAAGCCCTGGAGATAGCTCACGAAGGAACCACCGGTGTAAAACAGAGCAGAATCAACACTCTCACCACCGAATTCGAGTTATTCAGAATGAAGGATGGAGAGAGTATCCGAGACATGGAGGTCAGATTCTCACATCTCATAAACCACCTCACGGTACTTGGAAAGAAATATAGTCAGGAAGATCAAGTAAGGAAAATACTGAGCGGTCTCAGAAAAGAATGGGAACCGAAAGTAACAGCAATTCAAGAAACCAAAGAAGAATCCATTTGCTCTGTTGCAGCGCTGTTCGGAAGCCTTGCTGAATACGAGAGCAAGCAAAAATACAAAAAGGAGATGAACGAGAAGAACTGGAAAAGCATCGCTCTTAAAACTCAAGAGAGCGAAGATGACAATGAAGATGATCTTGAAGATGACGAAATGGGCCTTATAGTCAGAAGGTTCAAGAAATTCTACAAGAACAGAACTGGAAAGAAGTTCCAGCCAAAACGCAGAGCCTCAACATCTTAGAATGAATCAAAGGATCCAATCATCTGCTTTGAATGCAAGAAGCCAGGACATATCAAGGCAGAGTGTCCCCAACTATCCAAAATGAAGGATAAAGAAAAGAAGAAAGAAAGATTTAGAAAGAAGAAAGCCTTTGTTACATCAATCTGGGGAGATAGCTCTTCGAAGGAAGAAGAAGAAAGTGATGATGAAGAAACCGCTAACATCATCTGTCTAGTGGCCCAGGAAAACGAAGAATCAGAGACAGATGAGGTAATAATTTCTGAACCATCTTATGATGCATTACAGTCCGAATACAATGCACTACATTTAGAATTAGTAAGAATTGCAAAGGAGTTGGTAAGCTCTAAGAAAAGAATAAAGTTCTTAGAAGAACAACAATCAAAGTTTGAAGACAATGTAGATTTGCTCCCAGTTTGCAAAGATTGCGAAATGAACTAAAAGAAGGTTGAGGATCTTACCAGAACTTTAGAAAAATTCACTAAGGGTAGTGAAATGCTTAAAGTAATCCTAGGAGCTCAACGATGTTTGATAGACAAAATCGGTATAAGATACGATCCAGCTCAGGATAAGTCAAAGGGAAAGAAAAAGAGTAGTAGTAGATCATATCTTACATATTTTAAAAATACTTGGCATTCTTCCAATCCATTTACACTATGTTCTTACTGCAACTGTAAAGGCCATTCAACTTCTTCTTGTTACCACAAGAAGAAAGGAACCTATGAAACATTAAAATGGGTGCCCAAAGGTACTTATGTACCAAGGACAACTCATACTAACCAAAAAGGACCCAAGAAGGTATGGTTACCTAAAACATGATTGTAATTTTGAAGGTATGTCTCAAAGCATCCAGAACAAACAAATGGTATATCGACAGTGGATGCTCTAGACACATGACGGGTGACACTGAGAAGTTTACATTACTTAAACCAAAGAAGGAGGAAAAGTAAGTTTCGGAGGAAACCAATCGGGAAGAATTGCTGGAATTGGAGAAATTGGAAGTAACATGGGCATGAAGGTTGAAGATGTATACTACATGGAAGGTCTATGTCACAATCTGCTCAGTGTCAGTCAAAGTGCGGACAAAAACAATTGGGTGATCTTTGATTTGGATGAATGCTTAATCATAAGCAAAGACGACCTACCTTTGAAGAAAGAAGAGTTGAATACAAAGCTGGGAGCTCTGAGGGACGGTAACTATTATACACTTCAAATTGATTCTAAATCCTCTGAAAACTGTTTTATTAGTAAAAAGGAGGAAAGTTGGATTTGGCGCAAATGTCTTGCACATGTTAACATGAATCAACTTTCAAAATTAACAAAAAGGGATTTAGTTATTGGTTTATCAAAAATTCAGTATGAACGTGATATTATTTGTGATGCCCGTCAGAAAGGTAAACAAACAAAGTCTTCGTTTAAATAAAAAAAGACAGTCTCAACCAAAAGGCCACTCCAAATGCTTCATATGGATTTGTTTGGTCCATCGAGAGTGAAAAGTTTTGGTGGAAACTTGTACACTCTTGTGATAGTTGATGACTATTCAAGATTCACTTGGACTTTGTTTCTTTCCTCTAAAAATGAAACGTTTAGTGCATTCATTGTTTTTGCCAAAAAGGTCCAAAATGAGAAAGGTATTTCCATTGTGTCAATCGGGTCTAATCACGGAGGAGAATTTGAAAATAACGAATTTGCTGACTACTGTGATGAGAATGGAATTGACCACAATTTTTCAGCACCAAGAACTCCTCAACAAAACGGAGTAGTCGAATGGAAAAACAGAGTGCTCACAGAAATGGCAAGGGCAATGCTGAATGAAAAAGGAGTTTCACAAGCATTCTGGGCAGAGGCGATGAGCACAACTTGCTATATCTCCAATAGAGCCTACATCAGAACTCTACTCGGGAAGACACCATACGAGCTATACAAAGGGAGAAAGCCTAACTTGGCTCATTTAAAGATCTTCGGAGTAAGTGCTACATTCACAACAACAATAAATAAAACTTGGGTAAATTCGATCTTAAAGCTGATGAAGGTTTATTTCTTGGTTACTCTAATCGTAG